TTGTTTCTAACCAGTAATGGCTTGTTTCTAACCAGTGTTAGCTTGTTTCTAACCAGCAGTGGCTTATTTCTAACCAGTGGTGGCATGTTTTTAACCAGTGGTGGCATGTTTCTAACCTGTGGTGGCTTGTTTCTAACCAGTGGTGGCTTGTTTCTAACCAGTGGTGGCTTGTTTCTAACCAGTGGTGGCATGTTCCTAAACAGTAGTGGCTTGTTTCTAACCAATGGTGGCTTGTTTCTAACCTGTGATGGCTTATTTCTAACCAGTGGTGGCTTGTTTCTAACCAGTGGTGGCTTGTTTCTAACCAGTGGTGGTTTGTTTGTATCCAGTAATGGCTTGTTTCTAACCAGTGTTGGCTTGTTTCTAACCAGTGGTGGCTTGGTTCTAACTAAGATGCACTGACTTACTTGGATAGTTAACTTCCCGGTTAAAAATCCGAACAATCCTTATCTTATCTCACCCTATAAGTATTGAAAGTCTATTAGTGTGAGTTAGGATGCAGTTAACCTTGCTGGATGATGATGATAATAATAATAATAATAATAATAATAATAATAATAATAATTATAATAATAATAATAATAATAATAATAATAATAATAATAATCATCTTTTTCTCTACAAGACCATGGTACAACTTATACAGACCATAACCGACATCAGTGACATACTATAATAGAAAGCCCCTTGGTTAACTAAAGAATTTCGGGCAACTTAGGTTAATCTTGTTCCCCAGGATGCGACCCCACACCAGTCGGCTAAAACCCAGGTAACTAATTACTGCTAGGTGAACAGGAACAGCAGGTGTAAGAAAACACGCCCAATGTTTCTACCCGCACCGGGGATCGAACCAAGGATACCTATCATATAACCTCAAATGCTATATCTCTTGCTGTTTGGCTGTCACATCTTATCAATAACATGAGTAATAAATAATAATAACGCAATCTACATTATAATAATGATAATAATAATATAGGTAATAATGATAATGACAATAATATATAATTTATTAGTTGAAGATGAGGAGGAGTGCGAGGTAAACAGTCCCTCAGCCTGGACTCGACATGATCAGTACATCGCTGAACCGATGGTAACTACAAGTTAGACTACTGATCCACTGGTACACAGCTCTGTGAGTGCCAGTGGTTCAACAGTAGTTGAAGATAGTAACAGTAGTTGAAGATAGTAACAGTAGTTGAAGATAGTAGCAGTAGTTGAAGATAGTAACAGTAGTTGAAGATAGTAACAGTAGTTGAAGATAGTAGCAGTAGTTGAAGATAGTAACAGTAGTTGAAGATAGTAAACAGTAGTTGAAGATAGTAACAGTAGTTGAAGATAGTAACAGTAGTTGAAGATAGTAACAGTAGTTGAAGATAGTAGCAGTAGTTGAAGATAGTAGCAGTAGTTTGAAGATGGTAGCAGTAGTTGAAGTAGTAAACAGTAGTTGAAGATAGTAACAGTAGTTGAAGATAGTAGCAGTAGTTGAAGATAGTAACAGTAGTTGAAGATAGTAACAGTAGTTGAAGATAGTAACAGTAGTTGAAGATAGTAACAGTAGTTGAAGATAGTAACAGTAGTTGAAGATAGTAACAGTAGTTGAAGATAGTAACAGTAGTTGAAGATAGTAGCAGTAGTTGAAGATAGTAACAGTAGTTGAAGATAGTAGCAGTAGTTGAAGATAGTAACAGTAGTTGAAGATAGTAACAGTAGTTGAAGATAGTAGCAGTAGTTGAAGATAGTAGCAGTAGTTGAAGATAGTAACAGTAGTTGAAGATAATAACAGTAGTTGAAGATGGTAGCAGTAGTTGAAGATAGTAGCAGTAGTTGAAGATAGTAACAGTAGTTGCAGATAGTAACAGTAGTTGAAGATAGTAACAGTAGTTGAAGATAGTACAGTAGTTGAAGATAGTAACAGTAGTTGAAGATAGTAACAGTAGTTGAAGATAGTAACAGTAGTTGCAGATAGTAACAGTAGTTGAAGATAGTAACAGTAGTTGAAGATAGTAACAGTAGTTGAAGATAGTAACAGTAGTTGAAGACAGTAACAGTAGTTGAAGATGGTAGTAGTTGAAGATAGTAGCAGTAGTTGAAGATAGTAACAGTAGTTGAAGATAGTAACAGTAGTTGAAGATAGTAACAGTAGTTGAAGATAGTAACAGTAGTTGAAGATGGTAGCAGTAGTTGAAGATAGTAGCAGTAGTTGAAGATAGTAACAGTAGTTGCAGATAGTAACAGTAGTTGAAGATAGTAACAGTAGTTGAAGATAGTAACAGTAGTTGAAGATAGTAACAGTAGTTGAAGACAGTAACAGTAGTTGAAGATGGTAGTAGTTGAAGATAGTAGCAGTAGTTGAAGATAGCAACAGTAGTTGAAGATAGTAACAGTAGTTGAAGATAGTAACAGTAGTTGAAGATAGTAACAGTAGTTGAAGATAGTAACAGTAGTTGAAGATAGTAACAGTAATTGAAGATAGTAACAGTAGTTGAAAATAGTAACAGTAGTTGAAGAAAGTAACAGTAGTTGAAGATAGTAACAGTAGTTGAAGATAGTAACAGTAGTTGAAGATAGTAACAGTAGTTGAAGATAGTAACAGTAGTTGAAGATGGTAGCAGTAGTTGAAGATAGTAGCAGTAGTTGAAGATAGTAACAGTAGTTGCAGATAGTAACAGTAGTTGAAGATAGTAACAGTAGTTGAAGATAGTAACAGTAGTTGAAGATAGTAACAGTAGTTGAAGACAGTAACAGTAGTTGAAGATGGTAGTAGTTTGAAGATAGTAGCAGTAGTTGAAGATAGTAACAGTAGTTGAAGATAGTAACAGTAGTTGAAGATAGTAACAGTAGTTGAAGATAGTAACAGTAGTTGAAGATAGTAACAGTAGTTGAAGATAGTAACAGTAATTGAAGATAGTAACAGTAGTTGAAAATAGTAACAGTAGTTGAAGAAAGTAACAGTAGTTGAAGATAGTAACAGTAGTTGAAGATAGTAACAGTAGTTGAAGATAGTAACAGTATTAGAAGATAGTAACAGTAGTAGAAGATAGTAACAGTAGTTGAAGATAGTAACAGTAGTTGAAGATAGTAGCAGTAGTTGAAGATAGTAACAGTAGTTGAAGAAAGTAATAGTAGTTGAAGATAGTAACAGTAGTTGAAGATAGTAACAGTAGCTGAAGATAGTAGCAGTAGTTGAAGATAGTAACAGTAGTTGAAGATAGTAACAGTAGTTGAAGATAGTAACAGTAGTTAAAGATAGTAACAGAAGTTGAAGATAGTAACAGTAGTTGAAGATAGTAACAGTAGTTGAAGAAAGTAACAGTAGTTGAAGATAGTAACAGTAGTTGAAGATAGTAACAGTAGTTGAAGATAGTAGCAGTAGTTGAAGATAGTAACAGTAGTTGAAGAAAGTAACAGTAGTTGAAGATAGTAACAGTAGTTGAAGATAGTAACAGTAGTTGAAGATAGTAACAGTAGTTGAAGATAGTAACAGTAATTGAAGATAGTAACAGTAGTTGAAAATAGTAACAGTAGTTGAAGAAAGTAACAGTAGTTGAAGATAGTAACAGTAGTTGAAGATAGTAACAGTAGTTGAAGATAGTAACAGTATTAGAAGATAGTAACAGTAGTAGAAGATAGTAACAGTAGTTAAAGATAGTAACAGTAGTTGAAGAAAGTAGCAGTAGTTGAAGATAGTAACAGTAGTTGAAGAAAGTAATAGTAGTTGAAGATAGTAACAGTAGTTGAAGATAGTAACAGTAGCTGAAGATAGTAGCAGTAGTTGAAGATAGTAACAGTAGTTGAAGATAGTAACAGTAGTTGAAGATAGTAACAATAGTTAAAGATAGTAACAGAAGTTGAAGATAGTAACAGTAGTTGAAGATAATAACAGTAGTTGAAGAAAGTAACAGTAGTTGAAGATAGTAACAGTAGTTGAAGATAGTAACAGTAGTTGAAGATAGTAGCAGTAGTTGAAGATAGTAACAGTAGTTGAAGAAAGTAACAGTAGTTGAAGATAGTAACAGTAGTTGAATATAGTAACAGTAGTTGAAGATAGTAACAGTAGTTGAAGATAGTAACAGTAATTGAAGATAGTAACAGTAGTTGAAAATAGTAACAGTAGTTGAAGAAAGTAACAGTAGTTGAAGATAGTAACAGTAGTTGAAGATAGTAACAGTAGTTGAAGATAGTAACAGTATTAGAAGATAGTAACAGTAGTAGAAGATAGTAACAGTAGTTAAAGATAGTAACAGTAGTTGAAGAAAGTAACAGTAGTTGAAGATAGTAACAGTAGTTGAAGATAGTAACAGTAGTTGAAGATAGTAACAGTAGTAATTTAGTAGAGGTAGTTGTAGTATCTTCTCCTTTCAGGTTCCATCTGTCCTGTAAACTTCTTGACATTTTTATAGTATGTTATGATATATTTGTTTTCCCCGGGTTTTCATGTCTGCAGTGACCGGAGGAAGTGGAGGCTGGGAAGAGAACTTCCGCCTTTCCTATCTTTGACTCACACACCTTAATCTAAGTATAATTAATATAGTTATCGGTAGATAGCCTCGGTGTGGACTTCCACGTCTTCTCTTATTTCACCTTCCCATGTACTCCCACTCACGTATAAGTGTTTGTCTCAGGCAGTTTAGAAATGACCTACTGACTGACCATCATAATACGTGATATCCTCTCTCTGTCTCTGTCTCTTTCTCACTCTCTCCTCTCTCTCTCCCTCTCTCTCTCTCTCTTCATTATAGCTAAGTTCGACCATACTTTCAGTGACTATCGTGTTGACATATATCCTTTTTCTTATCGCTTCTGTGCCAAGTTGAATAATAATCTTGTACACTATAAACAATGTATGAATAAAAATTCTAGTATTTTACATTGCAGTTTGGTGGTGCACTGGGTGAGGCAGAGGCTGAGCAATGTGCTGACCATTATTCATTGGTATATATAATTATCACTGATTAGGTTATAGATATAATTGGATATAGAGTATGGAGAGTAACATG